GCATTATCGATTCAAAATGGCACCTCTGCTTAACCTTCCGAGCGTCGTGAGTCATAGGAGGCTTGCTTGGCAAGGTGCTTGCCGTGCGAATTCTTGGACTGACTCGCTCACCATCGCGCGTCTGCTCACCTGCCTGCCTATCAGTTGCCAAGTCCTGGCCCGTCCCCTCTGCTGCCGCGATCCTTGCCCGCCTCTCCCGCTCCCGGCGCACCTATTGATCAATTTCTGCCCCGCGATGTACCGCCGAGGGCGATCGGCCAGGTCGATGCAGTGAAAAAGAGGACGCCAAAAGCAGGCGGCAAAGGGCAAAAGCGACGTTGGCAAAAGAGCGCAAAGTCTCGAAAGCTAGCAGCCCGATTGCAGCAGCTTCCTTCAAGCGCAAGCCTAGAGTCTCGGGCGCAAACGCTCGTTGTTGAGCCCGAATCTCTTCTCGAGGCAAAGGGCAATGTCGAGCTCTTGCTAAACGCTCCACCTGCACGAAGACACCCGCTCAAGCTCTCAGAGGGCGGTGAAGCGGTGGACGAATTTCTCGAAGATCGCAGTCTAGAGAATGCGGTAGTCGACGAGCGCAGCGGTTTCATCAGCGTCGAGCACCACGAGCCGCAGAGTCCGCGCTCCGTGTTTCAGAGCTTCGTCGACGTGCTCGGAACGCGCGCCTTGCGCCTGTATGAGCGTGGGTACGATGGTCAGCCTGCCCTGGATGTGCCATTGCAAAGCCGCGAGATAGACGAAGCTAGCAAGAAGCCTAGCCGGGCCCAACGACGAAGGAGAGGCCTTCAACAGAACGACCCGTTCCTACTACAGCCCAGCGTCAGCGATCCGACCAGTGAGAAGAAAGGCGACCAATGTAGCAAGCTACACAAAAGAACCCTCGAGGCTCACAAGATCAAGATCCGGTCTGCAAGCGGGCACGACGCTGATCTTCTTGGCCGCAAGCAAGGAGGTGAGCCTGATGAAGCTGAGCTGTTGAAGCGATTCGCGTGGGACCAGGGCACCATAGATTTGTATGCAGCAGCCGGGTGCAAGTTGCCTGTGTTCAGTGGTTGTGTCCCGGGGGGTCACTGCGTCTCACATTGATACTCCGTAAAGCGTTGTCTACGTGCAATGGGAATTTTGCTGAACCAATGAGCTTCCAGCGCGGTGTCGAGATCTGACTCGTTTGCAAAGCTTCCTGGATAGATCGCATTGCTCTGAATAAGGGGTATCGCAAAGTTGAGTGATTCGTGGAACTTTTGCAGGTCTTCCGAGAACAAAGATGAGGTGCTGCTCTGCTCGCCGGCAGCTCATGGAACAAAGTTGAGAGAATCAATGCCAAGGCCTCGGCGTACTTGTATGATCGCCACGAGCTCCTTGATCGACTCTTCCAAGATTACAACATTGTCCAGCACATCGGAAAGTGTAGGTCCGTCGAGCTTAGTCGTAACGTTGAGTGACGTCGCCTTTATGGCGTTGGGATCATCGTCGTCGTCAGCGCCGGGCAGATAATATCCATCCGTTTCACTTGAAGGGGACTTGGGCGACCGCAAGGAATCATTGGAGGGTTCAGCATCGCTGTCTCCATCCACATGACTAGGTATGCGCGCGAATCGAGTGCGCTTGGTGGGCTTGGCAGGCGCATTGAGCAAGTCTATCATTTGCTGTCTCTGTCGCTCTGCCTCTTCTGCAGCTCGAACTGAATCGGACCACTCCCCCGCAGCTGGGATGCGCGACAGCCTCGCCGATACACGCACCGCAGTCGTGTGTGCGTAGTGTTGTGCGAAGGGCTGCACGGGAGGCGCGGCCACCACATTTTGGGTAGGAATGTCCACCACACTCTTTGTCGTAGCGCTGCTGGCTTTCGACGCTCTACGTCCAAACCAACGAGCGAAGCTGCTTTCCTTCTTTGCACCCTCTGCTGCTCCAACGTCACCATCAGACTGGACGCTTGGCTCTGCTTCTTTTGGCTTCCCGCTACGGTGAGCCAGGGGGCCAGCGACTTCCTCTGGAAACCCATCAGACGCAGTAGCGCTTGGAGGAAGTGGCAAGGCCACAGACTCTTGCTGCTCTTCGATTTCGAGCTGGACGCCTAGATGATCCCAAAGAGCCTGCAGTCGTTTCGATTCAATCGTTCCGGGAGCACTGAGGGTAGGTGGTGCAGGTGAGAATTTTTCATCGACAAGTTCGCTCGCGATGCTCTCCAGTCCTAGTGCGTCGTTCAGGTTCTCTACAAATGTCAGTCCCCTTCGACGTTCGTCCAGAAGCCGATCAAAGCCTGGCACCTCGGCACGATAGCGCCAAATTTGAGATGCGAGGGATCGAAGAATGCCTACGACGATGGGTACGGTCACTCTAGCTGGCGCACCAGCACTTGAGCTGAGTCCATTGCGCTTTTGCTTCCAGTCTGGCTCGAGGCCCCAGAAGGAAGCGACGCCGGCGGTTTCGTCTTCTTCTTCCTCGTCCGAGGAGTCATCTCCATCTACTTCAAGGGCAGTGGAATCGGCAGAGCCTCTGGTCTTGGGAACCGCATGCCCGCCACTGACCGCCGCTGCGCGATCAAAGACAAGCCAGCCTTCGAGACTTCGGTATGGGCAGAGGGCAAGTGCGGAAAGCACGCCTGTCAATGCAACGTTCTCCTCTGGCGAGTGTGCGAAGAACCTCTGCAGAGAGCGCAACAGAGAGGTCAGGACTCTATCGCGAGCTTCGAGCTTGTGGGGAAAGGGCGCACAGGTGCTCGTGCCTCCGCTCGCAAGGCCGGCAATATGCAGACGGCGACTCGAAGGAGAACGTCCGAGGGATCGCTGGCTGCTGCTCCGCCGAAGCCGTTGAGACGGCGGAGTGACTACCGGATCCTCGGATCCGCTTTCTAACAGCCGCATTCCATCTTGATACGTGCTTTGCCGAAACAGAGCGTCTTCGGCATCGCGCAGGTAGTGCTCATAGCCCGCATTCCATAGACTATCGCCACTCTTCGGTGCCTTGGAATTCCCCTGCTCTATAGAGGAGACGAGGGAAAACAGAATGTCGATCTCTTGGACGTGCTGCGCAAGGGTCAGGCCTGGTACTGAAATTTGTCCGCGAACACCCGCGTTCTCATCGGTGGGGAGCGCTCCTGGGTAGACGAATTGCTCATCGCCATCTTCGTCCGGAGTGCCAGACTCGGGAGCGTCGGGCTCATTCGGGATGAACGGGAACGGAAAAGCTGTGGCTTGTTCGTCGGGCCGGGCAGTCAGGAATCCTTCGATGGCGAAGCGACCATGTTTGCCGAGAAGAGTAGAAGCGAGTCTAAGCGCCGCAGTCGTTGTTGCCGCCCCTTTGCCTTGGCCTATATGATCCAGTATCAAATCTCTCAGATCGTATCGTCCTTCTCCTGTAAAGTGCTTCGCCTCTCGCGCGCCATGCTGTTGTTGAATCTCATGCAGCGCTACACTTCTCCTTCGGGCATGCTTGCGTTTCTTGGCCGTGTCTGGTGAGAGCGAGATTGTCTCTTGTTGGGAGCCGCGTCGAGACGTCGACACCCCTGCCTGCTGGTTGGTATCGTCTGTGTCCAGCTCATCGCCAACAAGCCATCCCACGACGACATCCGCGAGCGGACTTTCATCATCTATGGCTTGCAGCAGCACGTCGAGATAGCACATGACCGCAACGGAGCTGTTGTCCGCGTCCGAGCATTCCAACAAGCTAGGATTTAGGATGTTTCTGAGAAAGCTTTTCCGAATAGACTCTGCTAGTCTGGACGTCAAGGCAGCTGCAGCGCTCGCCAATTCCGGATCAGAGATGGATGAGGAAGCTGCTGTCTGAGCAGTACGCATGACAAGTTGAATGAACTCAGTCAAGTCTACCAGTACACGCAGTTGCGTCTGAACTTCTGGAGCTGACGAGTCGACGAGACCCAGATCGTCTTCCTCCCCCAAGGTAGTCTCATCGTGTAGAACGCCATCTCCTAGGCTCATTCCGCCGCCGAGCATACTAGGGCCCTTGCCTGGCTGACCCGCGGCTCGTTGACGTTTGATGAGGATTCTAGGTGGTAGCAGCCCGTACACCGCGCCCAAGCCGGCGCCTAGCACGTCAGCAAAGTCACTTTCGACGAGATGATTGGCCAGCGCTCTACTTGTAGTCCTTTCAGCCTCGAGGAGGATCGTATCTTCGCCTTCGTGACGAGGATCCCTCCCGGTCGCTGACGTGGTTGTTCCTCTCCTGCCTCTTCGAAGATTGTGGGTTGGAGCAAATGCTCGCGTAAACAAGAAATACAATCCGGAGCGTGCGAGCTCTCCGGTCTTGGACTCTCGATGTGCGAAGCGAAGGAGGTGCGTGAGCAAGGCAAAGTCGTACACAGCCTTTGCTTTTGGGGGAGTGCTCGATCTACGTCCTTCTTCAGTCGTTGGATTTGTACGTTCTGCGCTTGAATCTGCCGCGTCAGACAGAGGCTCTGTGGGCCCAGCTCGAACAGTAGCGGTTGAGGCGGAGCTGCCGGCTGGGCTAGCGGGTCGCGCGCCAGCATCATCAGCTTGAACTTCAGATGCATCGCTGCTGCTGGCATGTATCTTTGTGTGAGCCTCTCTGAAGAAGACAGGCAAAAGCTCCGGCGTGTTCCGCAGTCTGCTAGCAATGCGGCATAGCAGCTCTACCAAAGCATGTTCTTCGGCGCTTCCTGGTCTGACCGCTACTGACACATCTGCATCCTCGTTCTCCTCTTCTTCCAGACTGTCCACAGAGAAGGTCTCATCGCTGTCCGAGCCACCGAGCGCGGCTTTTCGTTCGGCATCGCCGGTGCATACACGCAGTAGTCGAGCTAAAGGTCCATGAACACCAGGCGAAGCCAAGAAAGGTGCCGGAAGCTCCACAGTGAGCCGAGAAAAGAGCTCAATTACGTGAACCAGGACACCAGGAGGCTTGTCGGAAGATGTAAGTCTGAGCAGCGTCGCAAAGACTGTTTGAAGGGTCGAGATGTCACAAGATGGATGAGCCACACACAATCTCACGCACGGATCGACAGCTGATCCAGCTTGGATCGAACGAGCAACGCCCCACACTCACCATCTTCATCGAGCGCCCAGGCTAAACCTTCTGCACTCTCCCCTTCTCCCGTATCGCCCTGAGTGACCAGATCATCGGCCAGTCTACGCATCCTCTTTGGTATATCCGACCTCGAGACGCCATGATGAAGGACGGCTTGATCAGGCTGTTGCAGAGTGCTTCGTAAGGATTCCCAGTTGGATTTGAGAGGCTGCAAAGGGTCTGCTGAGCTTGAGGCGACATTCTGGCGCGATGAGCTTCGTCGCAAGCGCGAGATCAGATCCATGCTCGTCCACTTTGCAGATCAGCAGCTGCCGATCCCTTTGACTGGTCGACAAGAGTACAGCGATTCGCTCTACACGTCTGCGAGTGGAGTGGTAAGGATCAGGCGCCCGCATGAGCAGTGGTGCCCAGAGCAAATGGATGAACCCGCAGAGCCACTGGAGGTATGCGGGTACAGTATGACAGTCACGACGTTGTGAGGGGCGTCGGGTCGTTCGGGAACGCACACCTTGCTTTCCTTCGTGATTGCCCTACCTATAGGTACCGGCGCGGCATACATAGCTACACGCTGAATCGTGCAATCACCTTCACAACCGAAAGCTGTGCTGCAGCAATTGGCCACATAGCCTTGGAAGGCGTTTCGTGCGAGAGGTGTAGGGGTGTCGCGCTTTCGAACTTTCAACCCGCGACGAGGCTGCGCGTTGCGCTTGCTGGATGAGTCGTGTGTCGCGAAAGAAGGCTCATCACGATTCACACTCACACTGTGATCACGTCGACACGACATCCTCCTTCGCCATTAAAACATCCCCTCCTCTCACTATCAGCATCATTTCTCTCGCACCACATCACGAGACCATACATCTTTCCAAGGCGTTGCTGATCAATCACAAAGCGCACTCATCCACGCAATAGGCCAGTGAAGCATTCCACCCCGTAGTGCTGCAGAACGTTGCAGTCGGCACCCGATCATCATGACAGAGTGAGTGCAATCTTTTGATTGGCGTGGGCGCTTCAAAGCGGCACTCACAATGTTGATCTGCAATGTCCCTGGCTGCTCAGCGCTGCGGATGACCCTTGGGCCGGTCACGTCCGCGGCTCGACTCCAGAGCCAGCGAGTGTGGAAGAACCAGTGAGCGAATCTCTCGCGTACGCACCTGACACACGCGTCAGACAGGAAGAGCGTCTGGATCCACTCTCTTCTCTGTCCGATTTTGCGCCGCCTGGTTCTGCTGTCTCCGAACCGGGCGGAATTGCTGTGTCGCAGCTTGTCGCAGCGTCAACCGCAGACGTTGAGGATGAGCTCGAGGAAGGCGAAATCCGCGAACCCTCGAGCGACACAATTCTCGCCAATAGTGATACAATCTTCGCCAATACTGAAACTTCAAATGAACCTATCTCTGCCGTCACCGAAGAGGGACAGGGCAATTCAGAAGAGGAAAGCGATGAGGACGAAGCATTCGTGTACACCGGTGCCAGTTTCGGGACAGCTGTCGCAGATGCCGCATCAAATCGTACTGGCGCTGAGGAGCAACTATCACATCAAGTGGCCAGCCTCAATGTTGCTACACCGACCAACGAATTGTCGAACCCGACTCCCGTAGCTCAGTCTACGGCGCTTCAAACGCCTTCGGCGCCAGCAATTCCTGTCGACCACTTGCAGCTTGCATCTCTGGCGACCTCTGGCCCTCTTTCCGCCCTCAAAGCGTTTTTCGCCCATGCTTCCTCAGCAAAAGGTGGAAGCCATAGCGCTTTCGCTCTTGCAAATGAGCCTAGTCCTGCCTCTGGGCTGGTTCCCTTGCACTACGCTGCAAAGGAGGGAAAATCCGAGATTGTCCGGTGGCTCGTCGACGAAGCCGGCGCCCTTGCTGAGCTGGAAGATCGAGAAGGAGAGGTAAGGCGCGGATGGCGTACCACATACGTTGCGTTGAGCTGACACCTCGATGTCGCCCGTTTGCAGACCGCGCTTCACAAAGCTGCTCTCGCCGGCAAGCTACCCGTCATCTCGTTCTTGCTCACTCATGGCGCCGAAGCGGATGCCAAGGACAATGATGGCTGGACTTCTTTACACAATGCCTGCTCGAGAGGCTACTTGGACATTGTGCGAGTCCTTACAGAAAATCACGGTGCCAGTGTGGATGTCAAAGGAGGTAGGGCTGGATGGACGCCGTTGATGAACGCAGCTGCTGGAGGACATTTACCTGTGGTGCGCTACTTGTGCTCCAAGTGGAATGCCGACCCTTTTGCGCGCAACGCCGCTGGCGAGACGGCGTACGATGTGGCAGCTGCAACCTTCGAGACTTTCGTCTCCGAAGTCTTGGATAAGTACGAAACGGAGCGTTGGGCCGCGCTGCGCTTTTCCGGTCCCCCTCCCGCCGGGGGCGTCCCAACCGGATCTGCTCAAGGCGCATACAATCCCCTCAGGCTTCACACGACGGTTCCCATCGTTTTGCACGAGAACCAACGTCTAGACACTCGATTGTCGACCTTGGCAGTGCACGGCGGAAAGCCGAGATGGAGTGGCACGAGCGCTGGTCGCCCCCACAAACCAGATCGAAGAGCGCCCGGCACCATGCCACCTGGCCCACTTTCTTCGTCCCGATCTCGCAACATACCAATGAGGAGAGAAGACGTTGGTCTGCCCACAAGGGAGAATCCTTACAAGCTTGTGCTTCCCACACGCAGCGAGCAGATCGCAGCTGCGCTTGCGCGAAGACAGGGAGGGCAAAATGGAACGAACGGGAGCGCTGCGCCCGAAGAGTTAGGCAGCACGCCGACCCCACAGAGTGTCCTCAGTGCTCGAGCAGCTGCGGGCACGGGCGAAGCAGGAGCAAGAGATGTTCCGCCTCAATCTGAACGCAGCCACTTCTGGCTATCGGACTGGCAGACTGATCTGACTCATCCATTGGTGGACGCAGACGAGGGTTGGCAATATGCGCAGTCCTTTGACGCGCCTGATGAGAGGTGGACAGCCGCCATCCCGCCTCCGCTATCTAGGATACTGGAGGGCAAAGGCCTCGGTGCGAGCGTCAGCAGGGCTGTCACCGGCGGACTTCTGCCCGGACCTGGTCAGACGAGCATCAATGGACATGGAGCTGGACACGAGCAAGAGGCCGTAGCGACGGGCTGGGTGAGACGAAGGAGATGGGTCAGGGTTATGAGAAGGAGACTCGACATTGAGATTGGAGACGAGCTAGAAGCTGCAGAGCTGGCACACTTTTCTGCGACTCTGACTGCTACAGGAAGCACAAACGGGCCTTCGGGTCGTCCTGGTGCTACTCTCTCGTCGGTTGCTGTGATCGAAGCCGAGCAAGCAGCACGGGAAGCGTGCCTTGCTCTTGGTCCGTCTGCCGATTACCTAGCCAGATCTAAGGCGTTGGCGGGAGAATCGGCAGCTGCTGGATCCACGCCTGCCGACGCCCTCGGAGAAGGCGTGGATGAGCTGAGAAGACGCATAGCTCGACTCGACCTGGCCGTTGCGGAGCTGAGAGCTTCTGCATTCAGCGATGAGGATGCAGACAGGCGATCTCATGCCGAGGACATGCTCAAGGAGTACACGTTGCAGCTTGGACAGCTGAGGCAAGCTGCTGGTCTGGAGGAAGGAAGCGAAGATGGGGATAGCGACGAAGATGAAGACTTCATCTACCCTAATTCCTACAAAGATGATGGACAGTCTGTCATCACTCGTCTTGGTCCAGCCACTAGCATCCCCACCGGGGCTCGCCCGTCTTTGTTGAACAGACAAAGTAGTACAGGTGCCTCGGTCTTTGGAGCTATTGCACCTTCGGAAGCTGGCACGAGCATCACTGCCATGAGAAGCGCGGATCTGGCCGCCTCGAGCGAGTTCCGGGTTCCGCAGAATGAGCGTCCGAACAGACCTTCAGCGGCTGGTGCTGCGGTACACGCTCTTCGAGAGCAAAATCTCGTTCCTACATGGCAGAGCGACAGCGATGTTGCCGAATGTCCCGATTGTCAGCGAAAATTCACCTTTTTCCTTCGCAAGGTGAGTCTTGGGCTCTGCTCTACCTGCACACATGAGCTATGATGGCTGAATCAGGTATTCACCATCTGAAACTGAAACGTGTGATAGCACCACTGTCGTCGGTGCGGACAAATCAGATGCGACCGTTGCTCCTCTTCTCGGGCGGTGTTGGCCGCTTCGGAGATTGTCATCGATCCGGGAGTACCAGAGATGCTATTCACAGAGTCTAGCGGTCCCACACGTATATGCGATCAGTGCAACGCCGAGAGACAATTGCCGCCTTCCATTGGTAGCAGGGGCGGTCTATCCAGTCTGAACGGTGTCGCTGGCAGCCATGGGCAACTAGGCGGAACGGCAGGCTTTGGAACGCATACTGAACTCAACAATGGCGGTTTCAATGCATCTTCGGGCATCAGCGATGTCAGCTCGAGAGCTAGTGAGCTCAATGAGTGTCCAGTCTGCAACACCACCTTGGCTAGCGTAGGCGACTCTGCAGCGCAAGAGGAGCATGTTCGCGTGAGTCTGGCCTTTCCTTCCAATGGCGTATCAACGATGTGGAGAGCTGACGGTCTTGATTCCTCTCGTGACAACACGCAGACATGTCTCGAAAATGGCGGAGGCGGAAGCGTGCAGGGTGGTAGATATCTCATCTACAAGTTGACTGACGGTCCCATTGTGGGCAAAGAGTGCATCATCTGTCTCGAGGATCTTCAGCCTGGCATGACCATTGCGAGATTGCCCTGTCTTTGTTACTACCATCGCCATTGGTGAGTGCTCGAGACGCGCCTTCGCGACTGCGCGAATCAGCACAGCTCACTGTCTCTTCACTACTGTCCATTTCTCGCCCCCAGCATCGACTCGTGGTTCAGTCGCGGAAAGGCCTGTCCCACTCATGCTCGCACCTGGTAGATAGGTCGTACGTCTCATACCAGCCTTCTCAACACACATACCCTCCTTCGGTTTCTCGCAAACAGAATTTGCGATCTGTTCCTTTACACCGGCTCTCGCAATGCAGCGCAAAACATTTCCTCTATTTCTGCTCACCACAAACGTCCACGCATGCATTCTTTGCCAAACGTAGTTGCAAGCATTGTGATTTGAGTGAGATGCAGCAGGCTCTTGGTACATTGCAGTGCTTACTATTACAGCGTCGTTGATTAGTGGCGTCTCGAAAGGGTGTGTTTGGACATCATGTAGCACTGCGGTCGCAAATGGAAAGAGCGATGACTGGGTATCTCGCGGTCAAAACACGCGGCGACTGACATCTATCTCTGTCTCAAGTGTGAGGGGAGGAGGAGAGGAAGGCACCGCTGGCGAACGGTGGACTAGCGCTCAAGAGCTCGTCCGCCTTGACCACTTCAGCCTCATCCACGAGGAGACCGTCCAGCCATGCAAGTGCAGGGCACGCCATGGCAAGACTACCTCGATGCATCAACCTTCGATAAGCAAAGGTAGGGGGGAGGGTCTGCGCAAAGCGCGCGTCGGCAGCTGCCATCATCTTCTGCTGGGCATCGAGTCCCACATCGTGCTTGGAGCTGATAGTACTGAGGCCTTGACTGACTTCTGTCTCATCTTGCTCATCATCCGACCAGCGTTTACCACGAGGTGCATCCAAATCTGGCCCGGGCTGACGCTTGTGAAACACCGACTTCTCGATCTGTTGTTGCGCCGCTCGTTCCGCTCGCTTGGCCTCGCGCAACACGGCCGCCGCGCGATCAGGTTGGACGACGCCTGGATCAGGAAATGGTGGCATCGAAGCAGGCGGTCGACGGCTGCGCTCGTGCGTAGCCTCGTCGGATATGACCGGTGTGGCACTACTGAGTAGAAGGGGCGGATACAATCCCAGGGTGCACGGATTTAGACGCAAGTCGAGGACACTGAGCTCTGACATGCCAGCGAGCGCGTCTATCAAGCTGGTTGGGCGCTTGATACGGCATCCCACGAGACTCAGACGTTTGAGTCGCCGCATAGCCTGTAGCGCAGGAAGCTTCGACAGCAGGTTGTGATCCAGGTTCAGATGACGCATGTTGGG